TCATTTTGCAGTTTGCAGTTGCAGAAGATGAAAGAACGGTCAGAAACATGGCACAGAAATTCCAGCAATCATCAAGACGTATCCTCTATCATCAACTATATCGCGCAATGCAACCCGATGTTCAAGAACTCAACCAATAGCCGCCCAAGAAACAAAGCCTCCTATCTCTCGGGAACTTAACTGGTACTGGACTCGCCTGGAAGGATATGAGCATGGACTCGAACATAAGCCGGCCTCTATCAGCCATGCTATAGGCCACATGAACATTCGAAAGTCACTCTGGATGAAGCCGAGTGCGGGGCGCATCCTCAAACGGAATAGCTCAGCGTCGAGGAGTTTATCCATTGCCCTTTGTGCCATCAACTCCGAATTCTCGAACTTCTGAGCTCTAGGGGGACAGGATGGGATCGTAATTGGCATATAGAAAGAATGTGAGGACCTCGTGTTGTAAGGTTTCCCTTCTGACCATGATTCTCGCACCAACTATCCTTACTACGGAAAGGAGACTTTACTGCCATAGATGTAGAGGATTTTGAGTTACGGCGAGCCATTTCTGTAATAGGGATGCTATTTGTCCCTACTCTGGCCAATCGGCAACTTTACAACCATTCTGCACATTTCCAAGAACTGCCTTACAATGCAATGTACCCGTTCACTGGAAACTTTTGCAATTATTATGAACGTCACCTGCAGTACAGTTTTTACTTATCGCCCATATTCTCTTCCGTCACCCGCCTTCAGTAATCCATCAAATTCTCTCGTTATCAGTGTCCGTCTTGCCTGGAACCTCTGCAGGCGACTCGAAATTATGACCTCGAAATGATATCGGCGACCTTGCCACTGCATCCCCTATCTACACAAACACTTTGCTGGCACGGCCATTTTTTATTCGTTCTTCTTTACACGATACAAATCATACAGATGGATAACTGCCACGACAAAATATGAAGAAATAGCTCGTTGTACCATAAAATGGACATGACTATATATGGTCAGGGTCGATGACGGGGAATATGTTCGTTTTTTTCCGCGTCGTTTTAGACATTAACCATACATACCCAATAGTGACAAGTGATACATAAAGGCAGAGCCGATAAGAGAAATTTACCCATTTCAGGAAGGGCATCAACACGGTAATAGCTATTATGTCCAGATCAACATATTGAACGCGTAATCGAGACAATAGAAAGACATCTAACTACAAAATATCATCACAGTAGGGCGTTTCCCCTGTGTGACCAGCAATCACGAGAGACCAACACGCTGTAACTGTGTCTCGAAGGCGCTTTCCACCAATAAGCTATGTAGTTTACATTACAATCGTTTTAGGTAAAAATTGTGAATGGACAATATGCGCCTTCAACGAGACGCAATCACTACCACGTGCTGGCTAATACACGAATATGGTTAAGGTACCTGATGCATGAATCACTGACGATTGCAACCGAAAATGAGTTAAATGAAGTATAAATACAACACACAAATCAATAAACCAAAAATGAAAGAAAAAACGAATTCGTAATAAGGAAATAGAGAACACTTGCCGGGTAGAAGGTGGCAATACACCTCTAATAGACTACAACGTATAGGTCATATATTAACGCACACGGAACTTGATGATTAGAACCATTAACAACGTAATCATGAAACAGACACCATGTTTGACAATAGCTATTCGCTTTGCCCGAGTGCGATACACATCGCAGTGATAAACACTAAACAAACTTGAGCCTCATATAATACACGGTAATTCCATTATGACTATTGATCGACACTTGGATCATACTGGCAACGCTACGCGACGGATACACGCTAGATGACGGCAAATATGCCATATATGACGCCCATTTCAATTATTACGACGGCATTTCATGACCCCACAGTGCGCGTACGCCCATATAGTTATTGTAGACATTTATCTTTTACTAAAGTTACCCAGAAAGTTCTTTGGCCTGTCATAATAGTTGAAGTAGACTATAGTATTTGGAGAAACATGAGATACAACTAAAGCACAACGGTACACCGATAAGTCGGTAAAAATCATGAGCAAGTGTACATAAGTGATATCAAGGAAATGTGCCCGTAGGGCATGGCAAAGGGCCGCGACTAGAGGCGCCAATAGGGGAAGGGAAGAGGTGGGATTAGAAGCGCTACGCGTGATAACACATGCAGCACAACTCAGTAGTGATTAAAATAAAGCTACTACAAACAGAATGCCAAAACAAAATGGCTTAAATACCACTAAAAAAGTGAAAGTCTTCAGGTGAGGGGGGATGTGCGCAGTCGCGAGCGCCCTGCAGACTAAGTTATAAGCTCGCGCACTACCCGCCAAACAAAACGGCACAAAGGCATAAGAGAGAAAAGCATCCGAGATGCCGAACAATGATACGACTAAACATACGTAAACACACA